GCTGGAGTCTATCCCAGCTGACTCAGGGTGAAGGCAGGGGACACCCTGGACAGGTCACCAGTCTATCACAGGGCTACACTTAGAGACAGACAACCAAGCACACTCACATTCACACCTACGGACAATTTAGAATCACCAATTGACCTCAACATGTTTTTGGACTGTGTGGGAGGAAGCCAGAGAACCCACGGGGAGAACATGGAGGCTCCACGCAGAAAGACACCGGGTGTCCTCACGGGTACGCGAACCGGTGACCTTCTAGCTGTGAGGCAACAGCGCTAACCACAGAGCCACCTTGCAGTCCCAGTGAAATACATAAATGAAACATTTATTTGCAATGACACGTTTCATTTCTTATCAACAGTCCATTTGTGTTTTCAGCACAAAAGAACCATGAAAAATCTAATTTTGTTGGCTATTTGTGTGTAAATTCAAGCAAATGAAACCCAAAAGTGAAATGGTTCCTACAGATTTTTTCCAAATTCTGCAAGGTTTTGAAATACCTATGTATTATATTATATGTATTAAATATCTGGAGCCACTACTTGAGGTTGTTTCCCTGTTAATTAGATATTATAAATATTTTCATGTTGACAAAATGTCAGTGAACAAATTGGAAACAATATTGAGACTGTCCCCTTATAAAACACAAGCCTACAGTTTGTTTCTGCAGCAGCGTATTAACACCGTTCTTAAGGTTAAATCAGCCATCTCAGCCACTGCCCAAAAAATAACACAGTTTGTGTAACTGGACCCTCTGGTGGCCATAGTAATTATGATGGGAACAAACGAGAAGCTCAAATGATGTAGTTAGAGAGCCACAAAGTCAGTAGGGAGGAGATCAGGGTGGTGGGTGGGTTGACAAAACATCACAGTTTCGAATCAAAGAACATTGTTCATGGTCAATTTTGCTTCTTATCGACTTGTTGCAATGTGACTGAGCTTGTAATGTGCGATGTGAAATTGCGTGATTTCTATTGTTGTAACAACAACAACTTGTTCTCAGGTCTTCTTTTACAAAAGTGACTATAATATCAGTGTTCGGAATAAATTAGGTTTAAAACTAAACTGTATCTGTCAGGTTGTTTTAGCAAACACAGAAACAATATGAAGTAAGGTACCACCAGACTTTTCAGGAAATTAAAAATGTTTCACAATAAAATGTGTAACTTGTGGTTAAACATATAATAAAACCCAAGCTGCAGTCGATGCAGTTGGGCTCATTAAGGCTAGATGTTCATTTTAGCCAAAGCTAATTTTGCTATGTATTTCTACTTCCTAGAATTTTAAAACTCAGACTTACTGCTCCAGCACTTCAAGTTGTTTCTACCACATAAATAGTTCAATCTTGGATCCTGGAGAAAAACGTAACACCAGACAAAGTTGTCCTTAATACGAACTGACTATCTTCAGCTGGCAGAGAACTGGCTGCAGCAACCCTAATTTGACTTCATTCAAAGACTTCTTTACAAGCCCAGATTTTTAGTTTGAATGAAGAAGGCACATATGATTTGAAGACTCTTCATTTTTTTTCCTGCATTTATGTTTAAGCAATCATTAATTATCTGTCTAAAGAGGTATTCAGTATACCATCTAACAACATGTACGTGCACGTGTTCTCTCTGCTGTTTCAGTAGCAGCTCTGCAGAGGGACAACAGAGCCTGAACATGTCAACAGCCTCCCTTCTGCCAAACATCGCTCATTAATCTTGTTATTTTGTGCATATAAAACTTGATGATGGAAAATGAAGGGAGATGAAATAAATTATGCAATATTGAAGAAAAAGCGTTGATGCTTGACTTTCGTGCTATCATTGTTATGTCATACAAAAACAAAACGTTACAAAGGGCTGGCGAAACACTTTGAGCAAACCAATCCCAATTTAGGCAACATGAAGCCTGGAACTACATTATTTCCCAGATACTTGAGCTTTGACTGTGTCTTTCTTACCTAAATGTGTCTGTTCTGCACCAAGTTCCATCGAGAGTTGACTCTTTGAACCAAGAGTCCTATTGGTATGTTGGTGTAGTTGACAGAAACGTGATTACTAGTCCTTTTAAACTGCACATTTCTGGAAATTTGATGACAATATGTACTATATTTAGATGGCAATAAACCCAAACCTTGACTTGCTGACTGAAAAACTCTGTCTAGGCAACTCCTGGAACCTTACACATCTGCCTATCAGTCACAGTCACACTCTGGTGTGATGTGGTGGTGATTATGGCAGCAGACAGGTGTGGAGAGAAATCTCACTTCACTGGAACTGTTTTGTTGATCTTTGCTGGGAACCAAAGATCCCTCTGGCCAAAAATAAATACCATGAAATTAAGTGTGTGTGTGTGTGTGTGCGTGTGTGTGTGTGTGTGTGTGTGTGTGTGTGCGTGTGCGTGTGTGTGTGTGTGTGTTGAAGAATCCCTCTGTCTCAGGCATCAGCTGGAGGGTGAACTCCAGTTTGGCCAGAGTTTTGTTGTTCTTGCTTCTCACTGAGTCCCAACCAGTCGGCACGTACAAGTTTCTACAGCATGTTTTTCGTAGTCCGAGGTCAAGGTTTTCAAAATGTCACTTGATTTGTGTAATTCAAAAAATGGCCTTTACACATGATGACAAAGAGACAGAAGTTTGCCTGTTGTAGTGATTGGTTCACTACCATAGGCCCACAGAGGCTCACCATCTGGAGCTCGAAGCCTTTTTGTATCTCACCTGTGCAAGAAGCATGCAGTGTTGGCGTTGGACTGCAGAATGATTGTTGACTACAGATAGGAATGACTGAGGCCCCTGAGACTTCACTGAAACATGTTTATTATCCTCACATTGCACAACTATAATTGTCGTTCCCTGGGGGCTAAGAGTCTGCACCAGAGATGCTCTGCTTGCTTTGCCTGGGTGGCCTTTTTTTTTTGCAAAGTGAGGCTGGTGGTAGGTGTGGTACGGGCAGGCTTACCCACATAAAGTCACAAATAACCAGCTCTAAGTCATGCGTGGATAACAACACATTAGTGGCTAAAATGCTTGTTTAACTTCAGTTAAGTTCCCTTGTATCATACTTGTCAGGGATAATCAGGGGATAATACAAAAACACTCATCTCAATGGAGAGGAGGCCAATATCTGATGCTGAAACAGAAACTTGTTGATTTCTTCTTCTCTGCCCTCTGGGGTAACTACCACTGAACTTGCCCACCTTTTTCAACTAATGACCCCTAATAATTTAGCACACTGGTGGCCCCAGGTCATCTATGTGCAAGCCAAAATTTGTGTCCACAAGCGGACTTAAACTGTATGTTTTTTCTGCATGCATATACACTACTATGAAGATAGAGTTTAGTGTGTAAGAGTTTGCTTGGAGGACTCTGTTCCAGCAGTTTGTATGATCTCCCCGTGCAGCGTGGGTTCTCTCCATAGACTGTATAAAAGATGAACGTAGCAACCGGCCCTGAAAAATGAAGCCAACCCGGAAGTGTCAAAAACCTACAATATCACTACGTCCGCTAGCTGCTGGCTCCAAAAAGCCGTGGCTCCCATAGACATGAATTGGAAAAGAAGTGATTACAGATCACAAAATACCACATTCCTACAGCTCAGGATTTTTTTCTTATTAGTTTTCATGGTCAAGTCCAGAGACCAGGCGGCCAATCTGAAAATAAATCAATACTGAATTTTAAAAAAACCTTCGACATTTTTCGGGGCAAGGGGCGTGGCTGGCTTGATTGACAGTCGGCAGCGACCATACAGACGAAGCGAGCAGAAGGCGGTAAATGTGGGCGGGCAGAGAGGGCCCGCCTCTCAATCCGTCAGACCAATCGCTGCTCCTATGGCTCCGCCCCCCTCCGACGATTTTTGCGTAACTGGCTCCAAAAATCCAAGATGTCAACCAGGAAGTAGCAAAACCCTGGCTTCATTTTCTCAGTGCAGAAACCAACGGGTGACGTCACGGAAGCTACGTCCATCTTTTATACAGTCTATGGTTCTCTCCGGGTTCTCCGGCCTCCTCCCACAAGGTCCAAAAACACGTTGAGGTTAATTGGTGATTCCAAATTATCCGTAGGTGTGAATGTGAGTGTGCTTGGTTGTCTGTCTCTAAGTGTAGCCCTGTGATGGACTGGTGACCTGTCCAGGGTGTCTCCTGCCTTCACCCTGAGTCAGCTGGGATAGACTCCAGCCCCCCATGACCCTAGTGAGGATTAAGCGGTGTATAGATAATGGATGGATGGATGATTGCAGCATCTTTGGGTTTTTGACTCAACAAAAGTTACGTTAATGTCGGCTCCAAGGACGATTCAATTCAATTTTATTTGTATAGCGCAGATTACAACATCACATAGCGCTAAACATAGTAAAGTATAGACCTTACAAATGTTAAACACCAGTATGGAGACGAGTATGGAGCAGTTCACTTCATGATCCAGCTTTGGCCAGCAGTAGCTTAGGTGCAATTTGCCACAAAATGAAGTGACCTACAGATAGTTAGGTTGGAATACACAACTTCTTCTGTTATTGAACTGGCTGCAGCCTCCCTGAACAGTCATAACATGTCTGACTTAATATTTTGTGTTCCAAGATTTGACCTAATACTGTCAGCGTCTGATGGATTGGATATAACTACTATCTTGATTAAGAACGAATACCAAAATAATAAACATATGACTACAAGTAAAAGCCTTTTATTGTTGAAATCTATTTCATGACATACCTGTAAGATTGGTATCTGTCAACTCCATGTACGGGAAATATCCGTCGGTATTTTGCACTGTTTTCTGTCTTTGTATATACAGATCAATCGTTGGCTGTATTGATAACTCGAATATGTGTTAGAATAATGCCACCACATGAGTTTTTTGTGTGTTAATTAGTTGATACGAAGATAAAAATGGAAGCGATTTGATTAAACATAACTTTATAACAAATTAATTCAGCTCTAAGTAGACTACTTTAAGTAAACATTACCTCAAAGCAACTGTCTGCAACAGACAAACACTCTGGGACACTTCATCCCCAAACATGTCGTAACCTGTTGGACTTCATGTTCTGTGTTGGGAATCATGCGTGAAACAAACATCAGCTATTTGACCTACTATTTTCATTATTAGATAAGTACTAATGTCATAATACAAACACACCGGAGTACAAAGTGAGGCCTGCTTTTTATTATTTTAATCCGGTTAATGACATATCTGTGAGATTGGTACCTGTCAATACCACGTACAGGCCCTTTATTTGACTCTATCTGAAGAGTTCATTTGCATAAACAGACAACTCCATCGCCACAAACCTTCAGAAAACCTGAGACGACATCAATCAAACTTAAGTTATCGCGACTTCTGTCATGTAATTTCTACTGAGTCAAATCCACTCAGCTTCAGCTTGATTGATATTATCTCAAGCAAACAACAACAAAAAAAGCATTTTCTGAAAATCTACAAAAATGGAGTTATCTGTTTTTGCAAATCATTTCTATACTCTGAGCCAGAAACAGCCACTTCAGCAGCATTGACATACACCAAACTTATATTTCCGAAGGTATTCTGAAGGTTTTCACTGAAGGCTTTGTTCACGTATCATTGACAGCCTGATTACAGAACCTTTTATTCACATGAAAACACAGCGTATAATATTCTTTTACGTGGCTGTTAGGATAATCTACAGATTTATGGAGTGATGGGAAGAAATATCCAAGATCACCTATGCAAAAACCTTTGATCGTGTCAACTGCAGAAAACAACCTCTATAGTGGAATTTAGTGCAAATATATGCATTTTGAACGACATAAAGTGTCATCTGCCTGCACAGACAGAAAACTTGTAAAATAAAAAATTGTCTTCAACTGGGGAAGGTTCCTGGTGGTATATTAGCATTTTACATTTTTACTGTCCATGCCCAGAGTGTAGTACAGTGGACAGATGCATATCCTGCTCAAAATAATAGAGAACAAGTCTTATTTGGGAAAACATCTCATTGTACTTTTAACAATTGGTGCATAATGAGGACATTGTTTGCTCGACCTCTCTGAAGGCTGCTGTTTGCAGATGTGGTTACTAAACACGTTTAGTTTTCAGGTGTGGTCGTCCACAGCACATTCTGCACAGACAGTGGGCGGGTTCGTCCTCCTTTTAGCTACAGTGAGAGTCACGTTACGGCTCATTATTACCCGGAGCTGCCCGTGGACGAGCAGACAGGTGCAGCGACTCGCGGAGCTCCACACCTCCAAGCAGGACACAGCAACTCAGTCAGTCGTTTGTTTCCAATTCTGCATCGCTGGAAGTAAAAAAAAAAAAACTCCTATTAACTTAACCTTTTTTTGTTTGTTTTTCTGTAGTTGTACGATATGAGAGGACGGTACAAAAGAAAGAACTCGAAAGGAAGAGGCGATGAGACGGCAGACATCGGGCTCTCTCCTCTGCCCGGGGAAACCGCAGCGGGCTCGGCCGGGCCAGACTCACCTGTTCCCGGTGTGACTGTCCGCGAAGTGGGTGGCAGGAAAAAAGGTAGGAACACCTCTCAGTCTGAAGTGTACCATGTTGTATGAACGTATTAGACATCTGCGAGTTTGCTAGTTGTGCGAAAGATAACCATTAAACTAGCTTAACGAACATGAACTAGCTAGCTAAGTGACGGTAGCGTGCTAGCATGAGCTCAGCTAGAAAGATGCTCCGTTTTTTAAAATGCCTTGTAACGCTTTTTAATTTAAAATTGAGATAAATTACAAATAATTATTAGGTTAATTGATTCTTAGAAACACCTCTTAGTATAACTCAGCTGAGCCAGTTTACTGCTACAACCTTCAAAATAGCGAAACAGTTAAACTAAACCCTGAAGTAGAACCGTTTTGCTAACTGAGCGTATAAACTAATTAGCATAAAATGTGTAATTGTACCTCTTTAGCAAATGTGCAGGAGTTAAAAACATTTCACATTTTCCTCATAAATGTCGTGCAGTGCTAGGGCTTTGATATTATAGTGCAGAAATGAACTACACATACTCGTTAGTCTACTTCATAGCAGGAAAACTGTTGACTTGAACAGTAGAATGACAAACGAGCTGCTGATGATGTTGATGAGCACAGTGGAGCTACAGGCTCCTTTTTCAAGGCATGCACTATTTAATCTGATGCCATCTGAACATGTAGGCTTCATGTCTGAGTCCTGCTACAACACCTGAAACATGAAGAGGAACAACAAACCAAGGAACTTTACTGTTTCGCCTTAAACACAAGTCACATTAAAGGATCAACATACACAAGCCATGGATGTGGAGTGTTTTAGGGAAGCCTTTTGCCACATTTCATCACTAACATAGAATAGTGTGCGTGCGCTTCTCATTCACTTCACACTATAATTTATTAGAACCGGACATGTCCACAAAATCAACACTTTGCCGTGATGAAGACAGAACACCTTACATTAGTTAGACTCCTTATTGTAATCTGCCTTTTGATGAGGCGCTAATAGGAGATCAGGTTTAATTTGTTGCTTCCAGCTGTGTGTAGGAGTCTTTCCTCTGGGTTTATTAAATACCTGCAGGGATATTGTTTTGGAAAGTGTTACACCAAATTTTTAATGTTTTGGAAATTATAAATAAACTGTACGATTCGCTATTTGGACAGTTTGATAAGCTTGCGGTTAATCTACTTATTAGTACATTATTATACACTACGAGGTGGACTGTCTGTTCTTGCATGATTGGAAAATATCGTGCGTGTACCGTGGCTCTCTCTGCGGTGGGTACGGCTGGAAAAAAAACCATGAGGAACATTGATGTAAAAGTGACTTATACTAGAATGACAGCAAACCTTCGCTTCAGCAGATTGATGATGCAGAAATTTTCCAAATCTCGTGCCTGAAAATAGCGGATGAAGTGCTCAGAAAGTTTGATATTTTACTGCCATTTATTCCATCTGTCCAAAGAGCCAGATAAACAAATCCTAGTAGTTTTTGTGACGACTATATAACTGTTGCTGTCAATTTAATACAGCCATTAGTATGATTATGACCCAGTTCAACTCCCAACACGGGGTACTAAAATCGACATCAGATAGAAACCATTGTATGTGTTTCATCTATTGTATGTCATATGAAGGAAAGTTCAGCAATATTTTTTTTTGTCCAGGTGCGAGATGTTCCATGTATGGCGATGACAAGGTGTACCTTGGAGTCCGTGTCAAAATGCCCGTGAAGGATCTTCTGAGAAACATTCGTCTAGCACAAGGCTGCGAACCTCAAGATCTGAAGGTACAACTTTTTTTTTGTGGCTGGAAATAATACTGCATTGTTCCAGTTTGTTTCCTCTGTCATTGCTTGTCTATATGAAGCAAGAAAGAATTTGACAGAAGTCAAATGGGCTCACATATAGTCAGATTTTTTGCAGTTTTGGCAACCTGTGTTGAGTACAATTCCAGCTCCTATAGTCTCAGTAAAGGTAAATGCGCCTAAAGGCAACCAGGTGTTTCTTTCATCTTTTCTATCTTTTTTGTAGTCCTATATACTTTTATTAACATATGAAGTGACGTTTTCTAAGAGTGGCACAACAGTATCCAGCTCAGTGTTTTAAAATTACGCAGTCGCTCCCTTTGATTATATCTGACATTTAAAAGGTGTGTCATTTATGACTTTTCACTCAGTTCGGCATTTCACAGCAAATTAAGCAGAAACCGTTTCAACATTACTGACTCATTTCTTTCTTCTTTTTTTTCTATAATCCGATTTCAGCTGAATAACAGAACAGCTGATTCATCTTGTTTTCCCTTTTTAAAAATGAAGTGATATGGAGGATGTACCCTCACTGTGTTCTCTTTCCAAGCAGGAGTCCGCTGATCATAAATCAGCTTTTTTCAAACCTTGGAATTTGGAGGCATTTGTGTAAATGACAAGCTAGAGCTGCATGATATTGGAAAAAAACTGAAATCGTGCTATTTTCTTTTTCTACGATATATATATTTCAATATGGAAAAATACACGAATCAAAAAACGGTGTAGCAACTCATACTGATTCATTTTTTCCCCCCTTTTCATGTCACGCTAATGCAGGAGAGATGCGGCAAAACAGCTAAAGGTCAGTAAAACCTCGATCTATTACAGTAATGTACCGTAAACTCCAGACCATTGAGCACACCTGAATATAAGCCACACCCACTAACTTTAAAAAGAAAACAAGTTTTGTACATATAAAGGCCGCACTTGTCTATAAGCCGCAGGTGTCCACATTGTAACAGGAGATATTTACACAGAAAGATTTTTTAAACTTTTAATTAAATACGTACCGGTAACACACTCACATACGAACCATAAATGCTTTTTTCTGAACAGTGCCTGTAACACGGCTGGTTTAAAAAAATAAAACACACAGCAGCCTACCAGGAAAAGTCATTGATGGCTATCTTCATCTTCCTCCTGCACGAAAACCACTAAAGTCATCTTCTTCAGTGTCGGAATTGAACAGCCTCAGAATTACTTCGTCACACACCTCAAATTCATAAAAATCCATAAATTCGCTGCATCATTGTTTAAGCCACAGTGTTCAAAGCGTGTGAAAAAAGTCTTATAGTCTGGAATTTACGGAAGGTGTTTTGTCAAACCTTGTGGACACTCGCCTGCAGTATACCAGCTAAACTCTGACTGTACTTTGAAGCCACACATACTGTTCAGTATTCTCAGAATTAACATTGACTTCGTTCCATAGGAGACATGAAACGAGTCAAAACTCGCTCAAGACGGCAAACTACCAAGGTGAGTGTTGAGAAAACACACACGCCAGCTCACTCCTGGAGGTTTTTTCAAGCCTTGTGTCAAAGACAAATGCATGGAATGCTTTAAATCACATGTCATTTTTAGGAGCAGTTCACATAACTCTTTTTTTTTTTTTTAACTTTAAGGGACACCACCCCCCCACGAAAAGCCTGGAGGAATTAGCAATCATTGTTGAGGTCCTGGAGGAGGATCTCAGGACTGGCAACACCTACACCTCCCCTCCCCAAAATCTGCCCTCTTTTGAGTCTCCGCTGTCTCCTGAGCTTTCTCCGACTGGTAATTCCTATGGAGCATATCCACATGTTAATGGTCACTCATGAAAATATGATGACCAGCAACTACCTCTCGTCATCTAATCTCCCTTTGTTATCGACCTTTGGTGCAGGATACAGCAGTGACGAGTGCAGTGAAATGATCCCCAGCCCCCAGTCCTGCATGGCCTACTCACCAGGCACAGCAGAGTACTACCAAGACATGTCCCCTCCCGACTTCACGTACACCAGCCTCCAGCCCTCCAGCATTGACAATGTGAGAGAACATGGTGATAGAGGGGAGGAGTGGTGTGATCCTCACAGCCACAACTGGGAGCAGAATAGCTCTTCTTACTTCTGGACACAGCTGCAGAGAGAGGAGAGCCAGCTGAGCGACATCTCTGACGCAGTACTGCTGGCCACCGATGAACATGGCAGAACGTAAGTTTGATCCTGGATCGTCAGTGTATGTGTGTAACATATGTCCTGTGATTGTATTGTACATGATTGTATTCCTGTTTGTGTGTGTTGGAGTATTATTAGAATATGCAAGAGAGTTCATTGTCAGTCAAAGCTGAGGACTAAATTGAAAAACTGAAGGAAAAGAAAAGAAAAAACGCTGGCGTGTGAAGTGAGCACACCAGATCTCTGTAGCCTGCTTTTAGTTTCTGTTTCATGCTAACAGCTCAAGGCCACATTACCTGCTGTCACCATACTAAGCAAATGTAATGCTGTCGTGGTACCAACATTCTGACTTCCATATGATGCCTGCCTAAACATAAAAATACTGAAAAAACATACCACAGTAAAACCCTAAAACATCAAGGAAAGTAATGGAATAATAGATGACAGAACATGCTAGTTAAAATGTGTGTATTTTTTTTATTATTATTCAAAAAGACAAACAGTAAAGACAGTAAGACAGTAGAGGATGTGAAAAGAAGCCATAAAACAGCAGTAGCAATTGTGTTTTCATCCATTTTTATAACCAACCACTGAAATGATTCTACACCAGGGATCTCCAACTCCAGTGCTCGTGACTCACCTGACTCATATTAATGGATCATTAGCAGACTTGACAACAAGCTGTTGGAGAGCCATTAGTTTGAGTCCGGTGTGTTGCAGTACGGAAATGTCTCACGAGGACCGGAGTCGGAGATCCCTGTTCTACACTAAGCTCAACTCATGATCATGTTCTCATCTCTCCACCTTTATATGCATACTATAAGTGATGTTTTTGATTTGCATATTGTAAACATCTGGGTTTTGGCAGCTTGCAGTAACAACGCTACCAGACAAAATCAAATAATACAATTATCATTACGCTGTCAAACTCTGATGGTAAAAAAACTAAAACTTGACTTGTCACAAAATAAATCACTTGTTTGAGTTATGTTTCAGGGCATGATGTAATTATGTTGTCAATCACACTCATAGACACTGTTTGAGTCTGTTTGAACAAGTCTGATTGTCTTTTGGCAACATGCTTTTCTACGTTGGACATGTTGGTCCCTTAGTCTGTGAGGGTTAAATGTCTACAGACGGGCTTTGTGGTGTCTGTGAGCTATCCCTGACTCTTGGTTGTCAGGACAGTAGTGCCATATATTGCTTTGTGAACAATGCATGGACAGTCAGAAATCAATCAGTAACTCACTGCTGAAAGCATTTGTGCTCATGTGATGTGTGCCCGAGCCACTTGACTATCTTGACTTGTGCTGTCATGAGCAAAATCTAAAAGGTTTTTACGTAAGGTTACACACCCAGTAACCCAGTGCACAGCAACAACCTGTGCTTACAGTCTCTATTTGTGCCAGAATCAATACGCCGCCAACAAGGTTCTGTTTGATCTTGCTGATCACTACAGACGCCGGCTGTGGCTCAGGTGGTAGAGTGGGTCGGTCATTCCGCTCTGTAACCTGTCTCATGGTTGTTGTGTCCTTGAGCAAGACACTTCACTTCACCCACCTGCCTGGTGTGAATGTGTATGAATGCATCGTTTGAGGTGGTGGTCAGAGAGTAGAATGGCACCACGCCTGTCAGTCTGCCCCAGGGCAGCTGTGGCTACAATCGTAGCTACCACCACCAGAACAAATCTATGTATGAATACTTGACAGTATAAAGCGTCTTTGAGTGCCTAGAAAAGTGCTATATAAATCTGATCAATTATTATTTATTACCGTTTTTGTCATTTGTAAATCTTCTGCTGAGGTATGTTTTCAGTGTTTGTGTGTTGGTGCATTTCTAATTCTTTATGATAGGTTCAATTTGCGGCTTTCAGTTTCCCATATTGAGCCCCTTTTCAGCAAAGTCTCCAGAGTGTGTCTTTCTGCAAAACCACATGGCAGCTGACACAGAGGTGAATGAGTGTATGAAACCAGGACTTGGTCACTTTTAGCTTTCTGTCTGCGCAATCATTTGGCATGGAAATCTAGCAGCCGTTGTTTTTGACTTGTGCGTGTTATGGTTTTATCCGATTAGATAGCAAGTGTAAAGCCGCAGCTTCGAAAATGGCCGTGATGTAATGCCAGTCAACATGCAGTGGTAACAGTCTGTCACATTAGCTCCACAAAGTACCAACACCAAGAATTTTCCAACTGTTCTTGCCATTATGAATGAACGTGACTGGGTCTTCAGTTCCTCAGATGCTGAGAATAAATGAAGACTCCTTGTGTTCACTCTTGCAGAACCGGCTATTTTGGTTTTTGCCTTTTCATCTGAGTTGTTGAAGGACTTGACTTTATTTACCAAGCCAAACGACAAATCAAGACAAACAAATCATCAAGACCTGAAACCCAGGTCATGTACATGTACCTGAATAACAAAGACAGTACAGTACATTGAATTTCCACCATATGGGACCTGTGAAATCTCTGTCATATCAACAGTGAAGAGATGCCATCTGTGATTGATGGTTTAGATCTGTGGTTTTTAAAGCAGAAACAGTTCTGAAAACCAAGCTTGAACTGGTCTGGTTACATTAGCCCTTCCCATATGTTGAACATTTTAATAGGCCTGTTTCACACAAGACATTTTGATGTTCCACGGTAGGACATTGACACGTGTAAATTCCAAGCTGCTTCACCTTTAGGGTTCTGGCAAAGCTCTTGCTGGATCTCTTACAGAGACGCTTCAATATGACAAAGCCACCAGTAATGTTGTTAGTGACTAATATACATCAGAATGTCTGCTGGGAAAACGGCTAAATGTTGTTCAGTTCACTGAGCTCAGTCAAGCCTGTTGGATTCCTGCAAATAGGACCCATTATTTCAGCTTACTGTGGGAAACTTATCTGGCTACACTGCATATGACCCAGTTTCAGATCTGCTATCCTCTGTTGCACTGTAGGCAATGCTGCACCTGAGTGTGGATCAATAAATGCCTTTAATGTGAAGTCTTCAATTTTTTTCTAAACATGTTGTTGCCTCTTCTTGCAGAGCTCTCCATAACGTGATGTGTGTCGGAAAGAGAGCGCTGGGCTACGCTATCGCTAAAAGGATGGCTGCACTGAACAGCCTGGACCTCAAAGACTCTGATGGCATGGTACATAACTGAATTACTTTTCTATTGTTGCTATAAACCTGTAGTTCTCATTGTTTTCTCTAAATATTATCACCAAAGTTTTATGTGCAGCATACTAATGAGGTGCAACAAAAGATTGATTTTTGAAACTGCCTTCCATATAGTAAATTCCTTCTCTCTACTGCAAAATAGCATCACCTTTCCACCAATCTCTACTACAGATAGTTTGTTTGCATTTGTTGGATGTGTGGATCGTTAGTCATAATTAGCATTAATTGGAAATTGTTTCAAAAACAGTCTGGTTAAGACTGAATAAGAAAGTTAGGTTACAGAATATATTGGTGCATGATAAATATTCATACTGAATATTGTGGCAGCTGCAAACTGTTATCAGGATGATATTTAGGAAGGTCTTACCCTGCATTTACACTGGTTGTCTGTACTGGCAACTATTCCATGTAAATATGTTGTGCTTGCAGCAACTTCACCACAAATCCCAGGAACCAAATTCATTGTGGCAGCATGCTTATCGCTAATCTTTGATCTAGTTCCACCTTTTCTCACTTTTCCAGCCCATTCTATAGTCCACAGTAGTCTGGCTGTACTTCACTATCATTCCGCTATAGGGGATCTTTTATATGAATAAATTTAGTAAATCTAAATAACTTTATATTTCTTTAAACCAATCACAGTTGTTGTGGGCGGGGCTAAGGCAAGAGGCTGAGCATTCCCTTAAAATTGTAACTGGTGTAATTGTTTTGGTGAAACATTTGCAAACAGTAAGAGGAGCACTGTGGTAAAATGGACAATCCACCAAAACAAACAGCAGGGTTGCTTCACTGCGTGATCCACATCCTCTGCAAAACCTCAAATTTTCAGCGTGGTATTTTTCTGCTTGGGGGTTGTTGGTGTTATTTCGAGTAGCCCAAAGGAAGGGCAAAGCCAATGGCTGGCTTATACTTGAATCCAACAACTGGAGAGTCGGACTAATTTCCCTCTGTTTACAGACTGCCCTCCTCTATGCGGCAAAGCACAACCACCACCTGATGGTGGCAGATCTCATCTATTTGGGAGCAAACATCAATGAGACAAACAACTCAGGAAAGTCCTGCCTCCATCTCAGTGCAGAGAATGGCTACATAAGAGTCCTAGAGGTGAGAGACATTTTTTCTTTACCACTGCTTAAAATAGGCTTGGAAGGGCTTCTTTGTTGTTTATCATTTCATATCACGTGTATTTCAAACATGACCAATAGGATTTCATCTAATATGAGTGAATGACACACCCTGTAATTAGTGGAAGCTTCTACTTGAAACCTGTTTGCGATTAGTCCCTCGTCTCAGTGAACACTTTGAATTAAAACATGCGTGAGTGGTAGGATTGTTGTTAGCTTTTCCCTTAACAGAGGATGGCCGGAATTCCTAAGTAGAGTCAATCCAGAGTTCAAAATTCAATTCACAGTCACAAGCATTAGTCACACAATACATCGTATTTGCCTTTAACAAGCAACATGACCCCATTTGTCACAAGTCATTTGGTGCTACAGATCTGTTCCAAGCTCGCAGGTTGTTCAGGTTATGCACATGATCTGGTTTACAGGTCTTGATAATTTGTCTGTCTTGAAGATGTTAAGCGAAATCTCTAAACAACTGATGAAGAGACATAAACCAACATAGCTGGTTCTGTACGACACAAAAGCTGCGAGCAATGTGCCAATTAGTGTCAAGTTTTCGTTAGTCAGTGGGCTGTGAGTTTAAAGTAGTTCAACCAGTGTCATGTGTTGAGTGAACTTGTGTGTGTGATGGATAACTAACACCATGTGAACTGCAGAAAACCGGTGGCTCAAAGGTGTGCAGATGGATTTAAGGGTCCCCTTAAAGAGCCTGTTTCAGCCGGATGTTAAACTGCAGCTGCATGACAAACAGTGTGTGGTAAATAGGATTATTTTCTTCACTGTAAATCATGCAGAGCTGCTCCAGTGGAGCTCCAGAGTTAAGATGTTTGAGGCTTCTGTGTGTTTGTATTACAGTAGTTGTAGAAGCAGAAATGTTACGAGGTTTTCAAAGGTGAAGAGAACTTGTCATAGTAAATGCATTCTCTGAATTGCTTTTACTTTTACAGAACACAACAGATGTTGTTTGACATGACTGAAATGTTTTTCCACTGACTGTGGGGACCACATCTGAGGTCAACACACACATAGACTTATTGGCCTTTAGGCACATTACACCAGTAAAGACACATCTTTTTCTTCCCCTTATCTGTACCTTATCAGTATTTTGGTGACTCACCATAAATTACAACAAAGTATGAATATAATCAAGAACAATCAGACAGTTTTTTGTTTTATGCTTACTTGGCCCATTATTCATTTTGGGCTGGAGCTGCAAAAAGATTAACTGTTAATCTGTAACAGTTTTGACAAGTAATGAATTGAAAATGAATGAAAAAAAATTATTGTCGTTTCTCAGCAAAAACACATTGTTTAGGGATTTATATATTTTTACTGAATCTGCTGAGGGTGTTGAACTGTTTGAAGACATTTCAAACATGTCACTGTGGGGTGCGGGACACCGGCTGGGTCTCTTTTCACTTTTTTGACATTTTAGACCAAATGATTCATGAGTAAACTTGAAACAATCATTTGTTCCAGCACGACTTTAGACAATGTTTTACTCTTCAATTTCTCAATCAGTAGATACACCTGGTAAGCAAACGCCTTCACTACCTTCATCTGCCGCTCTGAGGGTGGCGGGTATGTGTTCATCATTTTTGCCAAGGCATTTTTCTTCATGCCAAAAGAACAGGGTGTAACAAAATCTTTAATCAACCTCCGTTAACCACAAAAACTGCGCTGATGTTGACATAATTTTATCTGGGTCAAGTCAACAGTGTTGGAAATCACAGTTATCACAGTTTGCAAATTAAACGCCAAGTGATTTGCAACTCTGTCAGAGCTGCCGTTTGTTGACCAGGTTGTTTGCGGCTGTTGGGCTACATTTGAGTTTGTCCTGATCTGTGGCAACACATTTGTGCTACTTCGTGCTTTTTTTCACAAAGGACTTCTTTCTTGCTGCATTATCAAACTGACTATATGTCCGTAGTTTTCATGTAATTGTCAAGTGAATTTAAAGCAAACTTATGAACTTTGAACTGCTTTGGAGTACATCAACCAAGCAGCATCGTCTTGTCAGAAGGGTTGCAGTAGAAGAAGCAGACTGGAAACCACAAAAAGAAAAACCTCAAAAAACCAGAAGAGGCAAACAAAACAAGTCACCTTGGTTTTTTATGCCAGAAAACTACAGAGAGGGTTTTTTCGTTTATGTCTTTAGAGTCATTGCTCATATGTACTAACCAGGATGTATGTTTTCTCATAGGTTCTAAAGCAGGCGATGATGGATGGTGTGTATGTTGACGTTGAAGCTACTGATAAGTCTGGTAAGTACTGTCAACTCTCAAGCTTTCTTACGAATTAGTAACAAGATTGCTGACACGTGATCACACATTAGGACATGAAATAGATTAAATATTGCGTTGCTGCAGTACAGTCTTATCAAGGTATCACTGTTACATGGTCATAGGACGACTTCAAATGGAGACAGAATGAACACTGTCCATTAATAATGCATGGATCAGGCTTCTTTGATACCCAACCCGACCTATTACAGGAGCTTTTCTGTTCCATCCAAACCGCAAAAATGTGCATTAATCAAACTGAACCCACAACTCTTTGCATTTTTCCCAGTTTTCTTCCTTCTCTCCTTACGACCAGTGTCTGTTTATAACTTTATACAAGGTGTTTTCAAAAACGTTTAAGACTGCCTATGAAAATCAAATATTGCACCTGATTGAGTGACTCCCAGAACTTCTTCAATGCTTGTAATTATCCCTGGACAGGAGTTGTTATAACAAACTGTATGTGGCCCGCTCCGAAGTTCAGAGGACACACCAAGCAGAAAGTTCTTTATGTGACATATTGACAGTCATGAGTGTGATGCATGTAAATAAACTAACCAGCAACAAGATCTCATGAACAGATCAAAACGGTGCACTGACTGTTTCACGTCTATTTAGAATTATTTGTCAAATACGTCACCTGAAAAAGTTTCAAGTCATTTTTATTATAGGTTTTTCTGTGTCAGGCATCATTCTGCAGTTTAGCAGGCGTAGGTATTACATGTTATCGACCAGTTAGGAAGTTGATGCGGTGCATAGAAGCTCCTCAGAAATCCAGCTTTGTGTGTTCTCAGGAATGAGCGTCCTCCAGTGTGTCGCGGTGGCTGTGAAGACTTCCGTATCAGAGCTGGAACACAGAAAGTCTCCCAGTCAAACCAGACTCCACCTGCTTCGCCAAGAACAGATGATGGAGACGCTGGAGTTTCTGCTGCAGATGGGCAGCGTCCCTTCATACCAGAGTACGTCAGTCAGGAGTTTGAATTTACATTTTACATCATTTGTTATTACACTGTTTACAAGGACTCCATACTTGGACTTGTGAAACACATCATGTGACAGCATTTGGAGGAAATTATATGTGCGTTTGTCATTGGAAAGCTACTCAGTTTTCACAAAGCCAAAAAGCTCTAAGCTGTCCCGATAACACGGTTTGTTTTTTTTTAAAGTAGGAGTAGTTAAAGGACATTCAACAAGCTTCAAAATGCCAAAGACATTAAGTACAGTTTTGTGTTGTTTGCGGTTCAGCTTTTGGTGGGGCAGCCCTCAGTCGGGAACTATATGAACAAATGATGAGTCAGCGTGAGTACACTTAATACAGCGTACCTGCAACCTATTTACACACCTATAGCTGAGGATCCTCCCTGATCCCATGTGGTAATTATCTGCCGCTGTAGAGAACTGTGCAGTACACTGGTATGCTTTTGAAATATCAGAGCAATTTGTGCTAGCCAGCGGTGGTTTCCGTGATGAACACATAATGAAGACAAGTAGACCCAAAGACTGGTTGAGCAGCAGAGCAATTTTGACTGCTCTATTTTTAGATGTACTTGCTGTCAATCCAAAGCCTTTCACAAGACGCACCAGTGAAACAGTTTGTTCTAGGGTGAAACTCCTCAACAACTATAGGCTTTCATGACTTGAGCTGATGTTTGATCCCTGGATGAAAACTCATGCATTCCACATGTCCTAAAAGCATGGACTTTTCAGACCAGTTTCCCAGCCATCAAAACTTTGTGGACATTGAGAGCAACATTAAAGACCCGCTGTTCTTTATTTGCTAGAAGACAAACACTTAAAATCAGCAGTCGACACCAGTATTTCCACCTGGAAACTGTACAGACGACAGTTCTTCAGAAGTGGATTCCCGTTCCAACATGTGGCTGAGTTATCCAGTATTGCAGCTTTCCATTGCGTTGAGTCGTAGGTTACACGGTGAGCTTGAGTTGCTGTGAGCGGCGAGAGGTGAGCGGAGACATGCCATGTAGAGGAAGGAGGCAGCAGTGTAGAGTTACAGCTAGACCATCTAAAGGCAGGAAGGGACTCGTTCAATGGAAAAATGTACCAAAGATGGAACTTTGATTCATGGATGAGCTTTCAGGTGAATATGAGGGTGACGATCTACAGGCTCTGACACTGTGAACACTCAGCAGAGGTGTGGGTTTTGCGTATACCCTGATTCATGCCAAATATTTGACAGAAAAACCTGGATAATGTTGTTATTGAACTATTACCAAGAAACCTTAAATGTACTAATCGCTCAAATGCTAACATTAGTAGCATATGAGCCATTAGTCAGTGTTACTGTTTGTTGTCTCATGAAGGTGTTTCTTTGGATTTTTAGAATTCATACATTTGTGTACGTTCCAGTTATAAAATAGTCAATGTGATTCAAGAGAAAAGGCATGAGCCCTGTAGTCATCAGTCCTCTAATTGCAGAGACAGATGAACATCTACAGCACTTGGCAGATGTTTTGGGCACTAAAAGTAAAGCATCAAGGAACTTTATACAAACTAAATCAGATCAATACTTGAAAGCCTTTAACAGAGCTCCAGTTCTTCTCAGTACACTCGTAGTCCGAGCTCCTAGTTCTCGTAGCTGAAGTTCTTTATGGCTCTGGATGGAGGGTTAGACTGTCCGGCTGCAGAAGGAACCTTGGACAACCAGATCATCAATAGGGAAGTTTGGCACAGTTCTGTCCCCTTTAAAGGCAAACTCCACATACAGGAACATGTGAGGGGTTCAGTGCCAAAGCGGGCCAAACCACAAGAAATTCAAAGTTGAGTTTTATGTTTTTTTGATAAGTGTTGATGGTCTACTAGTTGGTGGTAAAGTGGTCCACGCAACAGCCCATTGGTAATGTCACAACACCACTTTGAAGTCTGGCCCATAACAGTTTTGGCATCAAAATTTAGTGGCAAGCTGGGCCAAGCCACAGGAATTGCTGACCGTTATATCGCAGGCGCACGTAGTTGCACGGGTTCGCAATTCAAGATGGCGGACAGCGCGACTTCGAGCCCTCTGAAAACTCAATTAACCACCACCAAGCAGCTGTTTCTACCCCATGGTCCTCAAAAGTATCTCCAGTTCCTTATGGTGACCCAGGTAGACGCTTCAATGTTTTAGCAAGACAAACCTTGAATTAGTCTCAAAAACTAGTAAATGTGGTTTGGCCCACTTTGACACTGAACCCGTTCATGTAGTCCAGGGTGTGGTTTCTGCCCTGTCATAGATCATGTCCTAGAAAATGAAAAGAGTGGGATCCCTGAAACAACTGAATGTACCGTTGGAGTCATTGGAGTTTTTGCCCCCTGAAGTTTGTTTTCTGTTTCTCATCCATCCACCAGTTCTCAGTAATGTTTTAACAGCATTACAGCCTCACTGGGCGGCAGTTCAAGACTAGAACTAACAAGCTTCTGTTGCAGAAACATGCTTCATTACTACTGACTTTTAATGTTTGTTCAGAGTTATAGAACATGTCTTCAGCCATTGGTATATTTTAAGTGATTTTAGGTGAAGCTTCTCATTCAGACTTTTGATCACTAACTGATTTGTTCCTCTCTCTCAGGGGAGCCGGCGTATGCAGCCCAGTACTGGCCAAGCACCCAGCACCTCTGCCCGGCAGGGCATTTTGGAACCCCGACAGTAATGTTCTGAGTTTGTTCAGGCTTGAATTTGCCATGGAAAGACTATAATTAGTCAGGTCTGTTATGTACTGTAAAGCATCTGATGTTCTGTGTGTGGTAAAAATGCCTGTCTTCCAATCAGGTGTTTATTTTAACCCGCACAGAAATGTTCGGTGCCCATTAGCTGGTTTCTGTGAAACTTCCCTTGTTTGTTACATTGAAGTAGCAAGTTATCCTCAATTAATGTGTCTCTGGAGATTCCGGTGTAAAATCTATGGCAATATTTTTGAAATAGTGGTAGTGTAACTAGGCTTTTTTTCTAGGAGTTCAGCAGTGTTTTGAAGGCCAGGCCAGTTTCCAGCAGGGAGGGAAAGTGACTGTTAGCCTGTGATGTGTTTTACGTCAGAGAGGAACGGTTTGTGTGAGGTTTTAGCTGATCATGCAGATTGTCCTTCACTGATGTGTCGATATCACATCTGTGCCGTTACAAACAAGGCACATATGTTGTTTTAGTAATGCCGTTTTTGTTTTTTAATATATATATTTCCCTTCCTACTGGGATGCAGCTTGATTTGTAGCCGAAGAGATTTTAAGACATACAATTTACATTTTGGATCTTCAATGAACTTTTGTACTAGAGTGTTGGAGAGCTGATGGAGAGTAAACACAGCGACATCTGACACACTGGCCTGTCCTGTGCAGGGAGTTGTAGTTCTGTTTATACTTTACCTCTTAGCGAATATACGTTTTTTTTGAGTCTACTTGATCCAATGTCATGTTACGTGGCGTGTCATTGCCCACTCTTCACTGCTCTTCTGCTTTCTTACTGGAATTTAAGGGAAAATATCCGTTTCATTCAGCATAAAGCTGTCAGTCACAGTTTATGCTGGACGACTATTTGTTGGGTGTTTTATAGCACCTGGGTCAAATTCTTACTGCCTTGTAAAGTTGGAAGGGCTATCTTGTTGTAGGGGGAAAAAAGCAGAAGTGAAAGTCTTTGTATCTTAACGGCTTGCATTTTACATCTCATCATTTATAACAACCCAAAAAAACACAATAAGATGTTTTCTTCACCATTAAAGAACTGTTGTTTGTTGCAAGATAAAAATGCTTATTGATCTAGTGTGTGATTAGCCACAGAAACATTTTTGGATTTTTTTTTTTTATCAAGGGTTTTGGGATATTGTGCATGTAGAGGTTAAAAAAACAAAAAACGTGGTACTTGTATATTATTACTGTATTACATTTATCAGGTGTTTTTGGGAACAGGTTTAGACCAAGTGAAAACCAATATGTTGAGCCAGTTTGATTTGAACTGTCAAAGTTAACGTGCCAACACTGGACTACTTTTTTTCTTCTTGTTTTTGCTGTTGAGTCATAAAAAACAAATCTCTTGTATGTTAAACTTTGCTCCGGCAAACACACCAGTATGAAGAAGTTATCTGGAAGTCTTCTTTATTGTTTGGTGGTTGTGAGCAACAGTGAACATCATGTTCATGTAAAGATACAAAGAGTATTTACAAGTTATGGATGGTGGTAGACCAAAGCTAGTATTTACTGGGTTTTTTTTTGTATGATGAACAACTACATTTTTGTGGAATAACTGAATGAGCACGTTCTTTGGTTTGTGTCAGGTTTTCAGAGCACTTTTACAAACACTAACAAAGTGCTCATACAATGCTGCAATCTGTTTGTTTTTTTTCTTTTAAATAATATCCCAGCAAAGACCACATGCAAAATGAGAATGCTCCTAGGATTGAGAATATAAGCTAGGCTGCATAATGTTACATGTAAAATAAAGAATAATCATGATATAAATGATAATATGGGTAGTAAGCTCTTGATAAAGAATTTAGTCTTTTTTGTTGTTTGCGGTTTAAGGCGGGGGAATAACAAAGTCCTCGTCATGTGCAGCGCTTCACTGTTAGATAAGACTGGTTTACATCTACAGGGTGTTGGTAAAAGTACTCAGGATGTAGTATTTATTGTTTATGATGTGGAAAATTATATAATCAATGGAAATTCCCACCTCAGTGCTCTTATGCAAGTCGTTAACTGAGGTACCAGTTTTGTCTTGCTTTATTACATACGTTCAGTTGATTATTATACTGCATTGTAAATCATGAGCCGCTTGGTGAGTTATGCAAAATAGGCCAAGTTCTGACAGAGATGTCAAGTATGCCAGAAAGAAATTATGCCATAGTATGCTCATTTTTTTCTGTATCGTGACAGTTCAGTCAATAAAAAAATCAGTGTCCACATTGGAAGCTCTGTAGACTTAGCGGCAGGCTAGTATTGGTCACAGGAATTACTCTATATTGATCTTAATCAAGGCTTTTGTTCTACTCTTAAGAGAAAATGCAATTTTATCACGATACACAATGTTTAGATCAGTTTCTATATGCATGATTATTCACAGTGGTGATGTGTATTAGTTGTCATCTAACAATTGTTCTGTAACAAACATGTTCATCTTCAATTCAATAAACTTCTGGGTTTGGTAAATATTGTCTTCAGCTTGTTTTTATTGCTGGACTTCTTAAACATGCTAATCTAAGAACTATCTTATTCACATCTTGTTTTTCATGTATGTGACCCATCTGCACAAAATCAGTCACGTTGCACCTCGGGCTATTATGCGTAAACAAAAGCGGTACGTTGCCACCACATGACACAAATCACAGGACACGATTGGCTGGCAGTGACACGTTGCTCGCAGCACCTGCGCACAAGTGGCTTCCGCGACTTCTTTCTGGTGTTACCACTCGTGCACGCTGATGGTATTTGACAGCGATAATATTATATGTTACCTCCATGTAGAAAACAACTAAATGAACTGGTCTAAGTTACAAACCCAAAATCAATATTGTATCATGTGTTAATTCGGGCTGTATCTCAGATATAACCCAAGGCGTAGTGACTGATGATTGATTTCGTGCAGATGGGTCATGTATGTGTTTTACAGTCATATAGACACTTTATTTATTTATTATTTTTTTTAATTTGACCTTTATTTTACAAGGTTAAAATGTTTGAAAACCAGTTCTCATTTGCCAAGAGGCACCAGCAGGAACAAACACACATGTAAATTACAGACACGAATAGACACATAAACACAACATAGAACAAAAGTAGACAAGTAAGAAGCACGGGGGCATATGTATGTGAGTGAGAAACAATGTGCATGAGGTGTAAGAAAGTGTGTGTGTATATGTAAGTAAAGTCTGGCGTGATCAGCATGAGCAACGGTCAACTACAATCTGTTGGATTTTAAGCTTGAAGGTGGTGAGTGGAGTCAGAGTTGCAAGTTTGAGAGTGTTTTGTAAGGTGTTGTGGCCAAAAATAGGAGAAGTATTGGGGATGATGAGCTTGATGTATTCACTAGACCTAGTATGATAAGAATTATGGGCGACTTGAAGAAGAGAGGACAGGTGGGGAGGTGTCTTGACCAGAATTGACTTGTAAATGAAATGAAACCAGTGGTGAAGTATGAAGGGAAGGCCACCTCAGCAGTTTATAGAGGTCGCAGTGGTGAGCCCTTCATGGTGGTTGATGGTTAAAAACAGCTGCAGTTTGCCAGTAGTAGGGAGAAGCAGAGCTTCACAATGTCCATCATTAAAAGAGGAAATGAAGTGGTGCCCCTGGAGGTCACCTGGACGAGCAGGTGTCCCGTGTATCAGGGCTATCATCCCAGCCACAGCAGCCAGGCCTGAATTCCAGCTCAAGGCGATTTACTGCATGTCCACCCTCCTCTCCTCCCTTCCATGGCTTTCCTGGACAGTCACTGTGATTAAAGGCAAAAAGAGGAAAACAAGAGCAACCCCAGTTTTCTCCTCAGCACTGTGGCCACGCCATGGACTGTATCAGAACCTGGTGAGCCTCGTGTTCCTTCAGCTGCTGTCAGCCATAATGACTTCATGAGTTTCTCTACAGATAAAATGGTATCTTTTAGAAACAAATGCATCACATCTTTCCCACAGCTCATGCTTTGGATGCATCTGTGGCACCGGATTTATATTTGTTGCCTCTCTCCTATTGATCTCTGAGCGAACATGCTCACAGCTGGTTTTATCCAAACCACCAACATGTCACTAACTAGACTGCTCGTGGATGAATGCTCCTCAACCTATCTTTATTAAAAGGCTACATACTGCAGGCTTTTTAAAACTGCTGTAAATAAACCTCTCTTTAGAAAGCCTTGTCTTGATCCAGGTGGTTTAGCCGCCTACGTATCTGTTGTAAATCCAAGCTTCCCTTCATTTCGAAGATTCTTGAAAAAGCAAGCCAGATATGTGACCATCTGCACAAAAAATGATTTGTTTGAAGTGGTTCTGTCAGGATGTAGAGTGGGTTGTTTTTTTGTTTTTTTTAAATCTTATCTAGTCCTGCTAGACCTCAGTGCTGCATTTAACATCACTGATTATAGTATTTCTTACAGACTGGAACGTATCATTAGGACTACAGGACCCACACTCTCCTGGCTTAAATCATATTTGTCACAAATATTCCAGTTTGTTCATGTCAGTGATGGCTCCATTCACTCAAGAGTTAGTCACAGAGAGTTTTTCTTGGATCGAAACTTTTCATCTTGTACATGCTCCCCCGAGGCTGTACGATTAGGAAACACTGCATTCATGTTTGTGCTATGCAGATGACACCCAATTCTATTGATCTATGATGCCAGATAAATGTAATCAGTTAATCAAACTCCAAGTATGTCTTAAGTACATAAAACCTTGGAAGACCTGTAGTTTTATTCTTCCAAATAAGCATTTATCAGATAGTTGGTCTGATGGCATCACCTTGGCCTCCAGTTCGACTGTGAGAAACCTTATTTTTGACCAGGACATGTCATTTGACTCGCACACAAAGCGAGTCTCTGGGACGGCTTGTTTCACCTGAGCAATATTGTCAAAATAAGGAACGTTCTATTTCCAAGTGATAATAAACAAGTCGGTTCATTTATCAAAATGGACTACTGTCACATACCTGGCAGTGCCTCGCTCTTTTTGTATTTGCATACCTAGTTTTCAGTTCTCCTGTGTTTGTTGTCTGTCCTTTCGCCTCCTGTTTGTTTTGTTTGCATTAGTGTGAGTTCTTGTCTGCTGGGCGTGGTGACCTACTTTTCCCCTGCTGGCAATTAAGTCTCATCAACCGCCTGTAGCATGTGAACCCTGGAGCCCTATCCATCCTCCTCTAGATCCTTCTACCAGTACATGTGGTACTATCGCATCAGCCAACCCCTGCTCCAAGTTAACCTGTTCTGGCTTCCTCACTGGAAATAACCTTGCTGACCCCTGTGCCTCAGGTTCAAGTCTCCATGTTGCCTGTTCACCAAACCTCAGCTTTGACCACTCGGCCAGATTCCCATTTTCCTCTCCAGACCTCCATCATCAGCTCCCCCAGTCTGTACAGTCAGTCAAGCCACATTCCCTGCTTTCCACTGTACCCATTGCCTCTGCCAACCAGCTATTAAACTCACCAACCTCAGATTTCCTCCTGAGTGTCCTGCCAGGAAGCAGCCACCTGTCGCACTCCCCTCCATTCATACACACAGTTAATAGAATTTAAAACCCTTGTCTTAGCATAGAAAGGCCTCAATCAACAAGCTCCATCTCAACTTAAAGACCTCATATAGTACCATATTGTCTCGCTCCTACAGTACAGGCTTATTTGTGGTACTTAACATGGAATAGGTACAGAGCCTTCAGCTATCTAAACACCCTCTCTGTTTTAAGACGTCCTCTGATAAGAATCGTTTTGCCCTGTAATATGTCCATATCGTGTTTTTTTTTTTTTAATGCTGGACCATATATCATGACCACTGGCAGTTACAGAAACAGATTCTAGGATTCATGCAGACAACCAAAGGAAAGAATCCTGTCAGCTTAGGGGTGGGACTGTCGTTATCATTATTATTGAAAGTCAGTTTCCAATTCGAGCAAGTAGGAGCCGATATGCTTGAGGTGCAGTGTAGAAAGGTGGGAACATAATACATCCTCACGCTCTAAAGGAAGCAGTTGTGTAGAGTTACATCTCAACCATCTCAAGGCAGGAATGATGCTTTCCTAATATATAACTTTGATGCACAGAGATGAGTTAATCAATGGCTTAATCAATCAATCTAGCAATTTAGGATGAGACTTTCAAGTTAGCTTTTCAATGAAGCTTGTTGTCGTCAGTCATCAAGGTCACCCAAGAGGATCAGAAGTGAAATGTCTTCAAGAATCTACAATTGAAGCCCAGCTGGTTTTTTATTACAGCTTGTAGGATGAAGCTTGTTGTGAGGGCCGGCTCAGGCAGTGGTAGAAGAAGTAAATGTACCAATACAGGATGGAAAAAATGAGCCGATCCTACTAGTACATAAATATTAGCAGTAAAATGTATGTAGTGTTAAGGTTCTCTCTCTGACTGATGTCATATAATATATATGAAATCACTGGATGGTATATTTATGACACCGTCATGTTATTGTTGTAGCACTGACCCACTTATAACCCGCTTTACATACAGAGAGAGCTGATACTACAAATCTGAGGGCTCCAAACATGAATAACGGGAGAGGAAGGATGGTTCTGAAACAAAAATCTGATTTCAGTTTTTCACCTTTTTGTTTAATCATTGATTTTTGCTGATATATTGCATGTGAGAACAAATCAGGGTGGAGCAGTGAACAGTTATCTTAAATGTGACCCTGACCACACACTGCTTCTATAATGGTGACAACAGGCCAAAAAAAGTTGTAAACCGCTGCTGTAACCTTTAACAGTGTATTACATTGCACCGTGAACCATCCTTTAGGCTTGCTGCTAGGCCTGCTCTACTGGGAGACCTCCCATGATACACTCAGGAACTCTCCTCTTCCGCTCTCTATGCTACCTCTGTTGCATAGATCAAACTTTATGTCTTCTCTCTTAAAGCTTGTTTTTTGTCCTCTCTGACCTGCTCAAGCATCTATTTTTGTCTATCTGTTTGTCTCTTCTCTGTCTCCATTCTGATTTTGCTCCAACTCAGCGCGACAACCACCTCGAGTCTGGTCCTGTTGTAGGCTGCCTTCTGTAAAAAGGAAGCTTTCTTTTAAAGGGAATTTCCATAACACAATACTATAAGGTCTTGATCTTGCTATGTCTCAAGAAAATTTGCTCAGGAACTATTGAGGGAACGCAACAAAGATGCCAAGTTTTGAAACCCACCTTCAAATTCCAAAGATTTGATCATAGCATCTGTGGAACACACTGAAACAAGCTCGACTGTGTTTCTTTCTTTCCAAGAGCACGCCATTGTTCAACCCTTCTATTAGTCTGACCATGTTGACAATATAAAACTTCTCTAATTGAATGATTGCCTTATTGAATTTTTTTTTTCTGAATTTATTGGGGGTAACTAGATGAACATTAAATTACCACAGTGTTATATTTTTTATGTCTTTTACACATCCCGTACTCTGTGGTGTCAGCTTGACTCGAGGCTGTTTCAGCAGGAATAAAACACTTGATACAGACTTG